CCTTTGAGCCAAAGTTTCACGTCATTTAAAATGCTTCACAAGTCTATTATTAACAGTTATTGATTCTGCTTCATTGTTTTGGAAAGTCGGTTAGTATTGGGCTGGCTGACACGTGTATGACCCTTGTCGCAATCCTCGTATATTTATTTTTCCACTCTTTTATCACCCGTGTTGACAAATGCCTCCCTTCTGCCTGACCTGTCCTGGTATTTAACTCTGAATAGTGTCACCCCAAGTGGCAGCATCCAGTTACACAATAACCGTGCGTATACAGGATCATTTCCAAAAGTTCTTTGTGTCTATCTCTCCCTCCCCGAACTGTTTGTACTTCTAGCCTTACTGAGCCGATAAATACTATTGTGGACCTATGGAAACATTCTCTTGTAGAAACAGCTTAAACCTGTTTTACTTGTTTGCCATAATTAAACAGACATAGAATTGGTTGAATCAAGGTGATTCATTTATAAACCTTCCTAAGAGAGTATCCATAAAATAATATTGTGTGCCTTTACAACAGCGATAATTCAAGTACAAACCTTATTACAGGAGTATCCATAAAATAATATTGTGTGTATTTATAACAGCGATAGTAATAAAGATTGGTGGCGAAATGTTCCATGACATACTCTGTGTGTGAATTGGTTTGTGCTTACTCCAAAGCTAACCATACTCATGGCGATTTTCTATTCATTCCATCTCGTTTCCATTCACCGAGAAGCAACTGCTAGAAACCAGGCAATCTACCAGGTTCGATCAGCCGCCACAATTTATTGTGAAGTTGAAAACTGGACAATACATTTCATCCAATCACTGTCCAAATTGTATAGCCTTCACCTTCATAACATTTCCAAAACACTCCCTTGTTATTGGTCACCTCCACTATGGAGACTTCTCATTGCCCTACCTCTACTAGGGCTAGTCTCCCTTCAGTCTATTATGAATGATGTGGACAGGCTTATCCACCTTACCAACTGCTAATTATCTATCGCCCTCTCTGCCACTCCCTCCAATGGCTTCCAGTCGCCCAAAGAATAAAATTCAAAATACTTACAGCATCACAAAATGGTGTCCCCAACTCTGTCCTGTGCTATATCATCTCAAAATATCCTCCAAACCTTCCTCTTTGTTCCTTCCAAGACCTTCTGCTCCATAACTCCTTCATCATCTCCACCATTACTTATCTCCAGAACCTTTTCGATTGTCTTATACTGCCTACCCCAACCTGTACGGATTTCCTACTCTGTCTGCCTTTAGACAATCCCATCTTTTCAGAGAAGCCTATCCTGCATCAACTCCTTCATAGTTATTGCCTTTTGTATCACTTGCCCCTCCATTTTAGATTGTAAGCTCCCTGGGGCCCTCCTAACCCTCTTGTCTTCAATTGTGTTGTAACCAACCAGTTGAACCAAAAAACTTCAGCCATTTTGTCAAAAGTGATTTTGGATTTTTCCTCCTCATTTATATTTCTCCTCCATCCTCTCTGTGTGGTTTATCAAAACCACCTTTAATGCCTTCACTTGCATTGTGAAAAAAGGAATTGGAAGTTTAGTAGTTCAGTCATTCTATAAAATTGCAGTGATTCTGGCCAGCTTTGGTCTTGCCATAGATGGCAAGTATTTGTCAAGGAATGACATGAAAGAAGATGACTGGCCATCCTGCAGGATCGTCTTCAAGTACAGGATCTTGCTGCAATTTGAGAGATCAAGACACAGATGATCTACCTTTCTATTTCACTCTTTTGCACCAATTGTGACCTGCTGCTATGGAGATTTTCTTTTTTTTTTTTTTTTTTTTTTAGCTAACTTAACTATTCCATTGTGCCATGATGGACACCCTGATTGCCTTACGTACTTGTTATGGAAAATGGGTAGATCAGAAACTGATTATCAATTTAGGAACATTGCTTGTTTTTGGGCTGTATATTGGTAGCCTTAAAGAGGAACTGGAGGCTAAACAAAAAAAAAATTGCAAACAGGCAGGTTCTTTATTGCAGATGAGACATTGAATACATTTAGAAAAGGCATTAAAGGCTGATGCATTGGCTGAAGCACCATAGCAACATCTTAGCAAAAGGACAGGATGAAGGAACCTGGCTGTGGGAGTTTTTCAATCAGGCTTCTGGAGGGGTGAAAATGGCTATGAGGGATGGCAAGCTGTCACAATCTACCGGTTGACCACAAGCAGCCAATAGGTAGCCATCAACACAGCCCTGCTTCTCTCCCCACCTGCGGCACTGTCATCTTCACTGCATTGCAGAGAGTGGGAGGCAGCACAGTGCTGGATGGAGGACAGGAGTGGGAGCTGCCTCTAGTTAACTTTTTGAGTTAACCAGCAGGTGAATGATCCTTTGGACACTGGGTGGCCTAGCAACCAATCACCAGCTTCTTATTATAAAAAGTTAACTGTGGCAGCTCCCACCCTCCATCCAGCACTATGCTGCCTCCCGCTCTCCGCTCTGCTGTACCAATGTTGCCCGGTAGGAGAAAGCTAACTAAACATCTGTGTGTTTGTGTCTGGGAGGTTGTGTCTGGGGGGGGGGAGGTCGAGGATGATGTGAAGGGGACAGAGGACACTGTGAGGAGGGAATGAGAACACTGCAGAAGACACTACAGTGGTGGTGGAGGAGGGGTTGATGTGAAAGAGACAGAGGATATTGTTTGGGGGATGGGAAAAGGGACACAGAGGACACTGCTTTGGGGGGCAGAGCAACAGAGAACACTTGGGGTTGGGGGCACAGGACACCGCTATGTGGGGCAGATGACACTATAGGGGAAGGGGGGGGAGAAGGGGGAACAGACGACAATGATTTGGGGAGGGCACAGGACACTGCCATGAGGGGGGCTGAGGACACTACAGTGCTAGAGGGTGATCTGAAGGGGGTAGAGGACATTACAGTGGAAGGTGATGTGAAGCGGGCAGAAGACATTATTGGGGGGGTGCAAAGGACACTACTGTGGGGCGGGCACACAGGGTGAAGTGATGTAAAGAAAGGCAGAGGCCACCTCGGTGACACACTATGGAGTGGATTTACTAACACTGGAGAGTGGAAAATCTGGTGCAGCTGTACATGGTAGCCAATCACCTTCTAACTTCAGCTTGTTCAATTAAGCTTTGGCAGTAAAACCTGGAAGCTGATTGGTTCCTGTGCAGAGTTGCACTCTCCAGTTTTAGTAAATCGACTCCTATGTGTTGTTCATACTGTCTTTTTATTGCAAAAAATTTTCTTTTTTGAAAAGGGCTCGTTGGGTCTACTGTATGGCCTGTATCATAGATGGTCACATTGCTTGTTTGTTATGCTCTAAGCCATCTTTATGGGGAGAAGGACCATCCTGTACACCTGTACGCCTTGATGTAGAGTTTATTTGCAATGGTTGGGAATAACTGAACTCCTCGGTGGAATCGAGCATTTTCTCTTGATTTGTTGCCCCTTCTGCAAATGTATGCAGGTTGTGGTTAGTCTGACGTTTGGCTGATCCATATTTGGAGACTCCCCTGACCAGAGGTAGACAGATCTAAGTCACAGACTGATATCCATTGGAATGAAAATAGTCTCTTCTCGGGGCCACGCTGTGCTGATAGCGTCTGAGAACACTAGAGTGCTCTGCCACAGTCAAGACATTTCAAGTGTAACTCCCATTTAGATAACAGGGTGGATTTGATTTAAATCAAACTGATTTAAATCACGATTTAAATCACTAGTCAGTCAGGCTTGATGTAAATCCTAGTTTTCTACATAAAGACTAATTCTTGCTGGTATAACTTTAATATACAAGTAGATGAAGATTTTTAGAATAACAACTTTTCATATTAGTTTTTTATCCCCAGTTTAATAGGTTAATCATTCATATTTGGACAACTTTTCTGTTGTACTTAGGAAGGAGAAAAATAATCATTACCTTAATAATAACAATTTAAATAGATTTATTCAACTGAAACAATAACATTCCAGCATATATTATTTGCTTAAACATCCATGTTTGTTAACTAATTTGGCTAAACAAAATATATATATTTTCAGAAACGTTAGACTGTCAGCCCCTTCCTCCTCACACTTAGTTTCACTTTCTTCTTGTGCAGATCTATTCCACTCCAAACAATCAGAAAAATATTGTTTCTATTCTATTCACTGAACTTCTTGAAACTTAGCACTGAAGGGGTTGATTCTGTATTCATAGGTTTGTAGAAGTTAGGATGAAGATCTTTTTCTTAACTCTGTTCATGTTATAACATTTTTGCTGTGAAGAAGAGGCATGTGATCTCCGCTGAGTCAAATTCAGTTTTGAGAACTGCAAAAGTAAACCAACATCTGTGATAATATCTTGTAGGCAGAGAAACTGCCCAATAATCTTACAAAAACCTCTGGAAGAGCATGACATTGTGAATGGATTAACCACTTGCCTACCAGGCACTTATACCCCCTTCTTTACCAGGCCAATTTTCAGCTTTCAGCGCTGCCGCACTTTGATTGACAATTGCGCGGTCATGCAACATTGTACCCAAATGAAATTTTGATCATTTTTTTCTCACAAATAGAGCTTTCTTTTGGTGGTATTTAATCGCCACTGGGCACTTTACTTTTTGCGCTATAAATTAAAAAAGTGCAGAAAATTTGAAAAAAAAAAAAAAAAAGTTTCTTTGTTTCTATTATAAAATTTTTCAAACAGGTATTTTTTCTCCTTCACTGATGTGCGTTGATGAGGCAGCACTGATGGGCACTGATAGGCGGCACTGATGGACACTGATAGGCAGCACTAAGGGCACTGATAGGCAGTACTAATGAGGTGTCACGGATAGGCGGCACTGATAGGCAGCACTAATGAGGTGTCACGGATAGGCGGCACTAATATGCAGCACTGATAGGTGACACTGATGATGGGTACTGAAGATGGCACTGACTGGCATCACTGCTGGGCACTGACTGGCGGCACTGACTGGCACAACCGCTGGGCACTGACTGGTGGCACTGACTGGCAGCACTGCTGGGCTGCACTGGTGGGTGGCACTGGTGGGTGGGCACAGGTGGGTGGCACAGGTGGGTGGCACTGGTGGGCACAGGTGGGTGGCACTGCTGGGCACAGGTAGGTGGCACTTCTGGGCACAGGTGTGTGACACTGCAGAGTGGCACAGGTGGGTGCACTGCTGGGCACAGGTGGGTGCACTGCTGGGCACAGGTGGGCGGAGCTAGTGGGCGCACTGCTGGGCACAGGTGGGCGGAACTTGCGGGTGGCACTGCTGGGCACCGATCATCAGGGCACTGATCATCAGTGCCCTGATGATCGGTGCCGATCCCCGCTCTGACAACTGCCGGTTCTCGGCAGTACTTTCCTCACGATCTGACAGCGTGAGGAAAGTGCAGCCGAGAACCGGCACTTGCATTTCCCTGTGATCAGCGTGTCATTGGACACCGCTGATCACGTGGTAAAAGGCCGGTATGATCGGCCTTTTACCACATCTCGTGATCAGCTGTGTCCGTAGGACACAGCGATCACGGAGATTGCCGGGTGCGCGCCCCAGAGCGTGTTCTGGGGGGACGTCATATGACGTCCACTCAGAACTGGCCGGCCGCAGTTTAGCCGTCATTCGGCTATCTGCGGTCGGCAACTGGTTAATGGAATTTATTTACCAAAGAAATTAAACATATACAGCCTTATTCTACATAATTAAAAAACGAATCTTTATTTCATGATGGAATAACCTTTGGATGGTAATATATTTTCCTCAAAAAGCATTTTATTTAAAAAAAAATCCAATTTAAATTAAAAAAATCCAATTTAAATTAAAAAAAACTGATTTTTTAAAATCCGATTTAAATAAAAAAAATCTGATTTTTTTGAAATCACGAGATTTTATCCACCCTGACAGCTAATATAATGGACATGACTGATATGCAAGTCACCATTCACAGAGAAAAAATAACAGGATCTCTTTAATGCCCACTCCTGGACTCTGTTCTACTTATCTTCACAGCATTCTCCCACCACTCCTTCCTTCGGTGCAGATACTGTATAATACTCAGTGATGGCTGTATTGGAGCTCGCAAAAAGCGATGATGTCACCTCCCTCTGTCATGTGACTGTGTTCAGGTGTAGTGACCAATTGCTGCATTGCATCGTGGAAGAAGGTTGCATGCTTCTCAATGCCCAGAAAGACCAGGAATTTTGCTGCCGCTTCGAGTTGCACGGAACTAAAAATTTACCTTAATTTGCAGGTATTTCTTCTTACTTCCTGTTTTGGTTGTGGGACAGGAAGTGAAGGGAAATCTCCCCAATGGGACACATGGCAAAAAAATCTGACAGGGATTATAACCCTCCCTTACTCTATCCAAAATGAAAAAAAAGTTGTGCCTATAGTTCTACTTTAGTTGCTTGTTTAGAGCTAGTGGTAGATTTATGCAGGCCATACGTGGGCTGAATTTCGAACAATTTTTTGTCCGAAAATTGAAAACGTTGCTCGCTCAGCAATCCGATGGTGCCATCGATGATTTCGAAAATCAGCCAAGCAAGTCATAAAGTTCACCCCATATAACAGGAAATGATGTCATTCTTGACCTTTCAGACCCTCCCCCACTATACAGAGAGGCTGACAGAACGAACATTGTAAGTGTTTTGCACGCGCGAAAAATCTGTCTGAACGACACTATATTGCAGGGCAATGCTCCGCAACATCTCCAAACGAACAATTGCCATAATGGTAATGCTTTGTTGACATTAAACAGCTATGACCTTTGTTCCGGAACAGAAATTTCCTACAGGCGAAACTTCTATTCCTTCCAGGTCACGGCTCATGCGCATATTCTTTTCGGAAAAACAATCATACGATTTGACCATCATTGAGTCGAAAATCGGTCGTTTTTCATGAATTTTCCAACATGCCCGATCACTGAAAAGGGGAGGAACCACGAAAATTGGCTGGTGCCATTGACCCACTAGCAGAGCGAAAATCGTCTGATTATTCTTAGGTCCGAAAAAAAAACCCCCAAAATGCAGTTCAGTACTATACACTCAAATACGGTGCTAAATAAATCCAATGTATCCAATGTATCTCATTCGGACAAAAAATCGGTCAAATTTTGACTCATGTATGGCCTGCATTACTTACCCGATCCTCTGTGCTGCTGAACAAGTCCCTGCAGCATGTTCTCCTCTGCAGCAGTCTGAGGTCCTGACGTCATCAAAACCAATGCAGGGTCCAAAGCCCTGCATTGTAAATGATGACGCTAAGTCCACCGCTGAAGCATAGGGAACAGAGGATTGCTCAAACCACTGCAAAGGATAATTCTAAAATTTCCCAAAGCTGGGTTTAAAAATTATACGTTGCTGTGTGGTCTTAGAGTCAAGGCCTGGACTGAGTGAAGCTAAAAGGGAGGGCCAGCATGACTGGGGCGTGCAGACGAGGCGGAGCGTGTATTTTGGGTGGGAGTCTATGCAAGAGAAAATGGGAGGGGGTGGTTACTTACTTGATTGGAGTACGCAGCATTGAAGGGTGGTCTTGCCAGGATTTGAAAAGGGGGGTTGGGTCTTGTCGGAGTTCAGTCTGAGCTTGTGCTATCACGGGGTGTATTTTGTTTGATGTGTTTGGTCATGGTTTGTCCTTTGTGTTTGTCCTGTTGTTGGTTTTTTGCTGTTTGGTTTTTTGGTTTGTTTGTGGTGTTTGTTTTGTGTGGGTTTATTGAGTTTGTTCATTGTTCAGGACAGCTGTTTCTGTCCCGAGGTGTTTGTTTGTTTGTTTTTGTCATGGCAGCCGGCAGGGGTCGATGGGTCTTTGAAGGCGGTGTTGGAGTGACAATTTGGTGAATTATGGGTTGGGCCCATCGTAGGTATGGGTGTCCCTTCCCAACTATAAGGTCAGGTTGGTAATGTGGGAGTTCATTGGCTGTATCTGGGACTAAGTAACTGTAGTATTGTCCCTGAGGCGGTGTAGTAGCGGCTGGGGGCCTTTCATTGGGTGTCAGATACAGCCGAGTTTGTGATGGGAGTAATGGTGCCTTTGAAGACCTTGGACCCGGTTGGGATCTTACTGTCAGGTATTAATTAAGTTTACTGTAAGAAGTGTTATGTTGAGTTATGTTAAATAAACGGCTGCTATGGCCGGTTTTTACACCAGAAAGAGAGTCGCGTGGTCATTTGGGTGGGGAAGGTTTTTGAAGGGTGGTGGTGGTTTTTATGGCTTAGGGGTAAGTATCAGCCTCGGCATTCTGCAAGTCCAACAGTCATGCAGCAGGATATTTATTTTTATTTTTTTTTTTAAATCATTTTTGGGGTACTTGATGTAAGACTGCAGTTCCTCCAGTTGGTTTCTTTGCGGTGCTTTTTAGTCATCCAAGAATATTTTCCCTATATGTCTCGGATAAAACCCTACTCATCACATAACTGCACTGTGAGTGTTTCTGGTTCTACCTGAATGGAAAATCACTGCAGCCGCCAATCTCTGTAATGACACAGGTATCTGAACATACTGGCTGAGGTCAGCTCTTCCATCCAGACGATGTACAATTATATATTGTCATGCAGGAGGGAGGTGTGTGCCGAGTCATTTAAGAAATGTTAAAAAGGGCAATTGTATTTGCAGATTAGCAGGCGATACAGGCAGCTGACATGTACTTAGTGGAATATTTTCCGATGGTGTTGGGTGTAGGGAGTTGTCAGAATTTTTGAAAACACCCAGTAAGTAAATGTCCTATCATAATGTTGGGCCAGATTACACAGGAGCTTATCAAGTCGTAATTTTTTATTTTTTTCCATTAAGAAAACCAAAGCTGGCAAAGTCCCGACTGGCCTTCTTCACCCATTTTCTTGCATTTTGCAGCACGGGTGGAATGCCAGGACACAAAATGTAAAAATGTTCACGGCCGTGTAAGTAGCTCCATGTTCTGGTAACATTCATGGGAAGCTTCTGGTTTGCTGCCGGAGCAAAATTGAGTTGGGCTGAGTGCTACTTAGCCATTCGGAGGAAGTCTTGAATTTTTATCAATGTACACAAGGCTTCCTCTGATTGGATGAGGCGGAGAGTGTGACATCATCTGACTGCCTCTCCACCTCGGAGGTTTTTCCAATCAGATTTTTTTCATTTGAATGTATTGGATTCCTCCATTCAGTGTGGATCTAGGAATCTCTTGCTGCTGCTATTGTATTCTGACAGTTAGTGCCACCAGTTGTGTTTGCTCTGAAGACGAGGGCATGCCCCTCGAAACACGTCAGCAGATAGTTATATTCATGTTAGGACCATGTGAGTGCCATCTTCTGGAATCCCATTTTGTTTCCCGTACAACATTGTTTGGGCTGTTGTGAGTATGAACTCGTTTTTATTTCCTATTAAACTAGCACTAAAGGCAAAACATTTTTTTTCCATTTTGGATAAGGTAAGGGAGGGTTATAACCCCTGGCAGTTTATTTTTTGTTCTATGTCCCATTGGGGAGATTTTCCTTTACGTCCTGCCCTATAGCCAAAACAGGAAGTGAGAGGAAGTCCTTGAAAATGAGTGGAATTCCTTGGGGATCCCCAGATCACCAGAACTAGTGTCCCCATTGGAAGATTTCCTCTCTATTACTTTTCTGGAGACAACCCAAGTTTTGGGGTTTCTTTTACTTTCACTTTTGATGTTAATGGTAAACAGGACACATACAGAGGGTGAATCTCCCTAACGGGGACACAGACAGCAATAAAAACTGACAGGGGTTTTAATCCATCACCAAAAAGTTTTGCCTTTAGTTATACTTTAAAGTGGAACTTCATCCAAAAAGAGAAGCTCCACTTGTATGCACCCCCCCCCCCCCCTTCATACGCCACATTTGGCTCTTTTTGGGGGGGGAGAGAGGGAAGCGGGTAACTGGTTTGATATGTTCCAACTTCTGGTCAGATGCACCGCGGTGATCTGAGCCAGAATCTCGCTCCCCCTCCTTTCCCTGCAGCCTTCTGGGACACTTCTTAGGTCCCAGAAGACTGCAGGGACCATTCACAAAACGTAGCACGCTTTTCGCAGGCGCAGTAGGAAACCAGCTGTGAAGACTCAAGGCTTTATTGCTGGTTTCCCTTATTCAAGATGATGGCGCCTGCACCCAAAGCCATGGCTGGATCCCTGGACAGGTGAGTGTCCTGGCCATGGCTGGATCCCTGGACAGGTGAGCGTCCTGGCCATGGCTGGATCCCTGGACAGGTGAGCGTCCTGGCCATGGCTGGATCCCTGGACAGGTGAGCGTCCTGGCCATGGCTGGATCCCTGGACAGGTGAGCGTCCTGGCCATGGCCGGATCCCTGGACAGGTGAGTGTCCTAGCCATGGCTGGATCCCATGGCCGGATGGACAGGTGAGCGTCCTGGCCATGGCCGGATCCCTGGACAGGTGAGTGTCCTAGCCATGGCCGGATCCCTGGACAGTT